GGATTAACAAATACTAGAGTTTTTTTAAAAAAATCATAGGCAAGAGATTCTGACACAGTTTGCTGCACCCATCATCAGCGATGAGAAATTGATGTAGCACGACACAACTAAAGAAATACAACAATAATAATCTCTTCATCTTATTCAGTTTTTCATGTTCCCCATAAGTGTCACACTTTCTTGTGAGTGTTAAGGTAGAATAAAGGAAGTAAATGACAGTTTCAGATACAGTGTTTTTGATAAATACAAGCTGTTGCAGTGGAGGTTTATTGTTTCAATTTTTCTTAATACAGAACCCACTGCTGCTCCCATCGATGTCAAAGCTACAAGTTTGTCTGTATCCGAGATTCTTGTTGCGTGGAAACATATTAAAGAAAGCCTAGGAAGACCACAGGGATTTGAGGTATGAACAGAGAATATCATAATGACAAGCCTTGTTGCTTTTGCTCGCATTGCATTCTGTTACCACGTGCGGTAGTGAAACTTCAATAGTGATTATGCTCAGTTTAGCATACATATGACTAGCTGTAGAACAACGGTCACAGCTGTAGCACCAGAACATCTTTTATTTGTTTGTGCTTGACAACTGTTCAACACCAGTTCTTACAACATCTCTTTGACACTTCAAAAAGAGCTGAAAGAACTGCAAGTGACCCAGCATGCCTCTTTCACAGGCCAGGGAAAATTAGGTATTGGCTGTTTCCAGCTCTAAGTGACCAGTTCAAACTTGTTATTTACTGAGAGCAATCAAGAGAGTGAAAGCAAAGAGCCTCTGCCATCCATGGGCTCTGATCCTGCAGTGGGCGGGGGACATCTGCTGGGCAGATTATAAAAGGTCGGATGTCAGGAGGGGAAGCAGCAGCTGCACAGTCCACAAATAAAGCTCTGCTTAGAAACTTGGGAAGGAGAACCGGCCCTGGCAACAGACTTGCTCACACTTTTGGATCCAGTTGTAGCTGTGGATCCAGTTTACAATCCAAACTTCCGGGAACAGATCAGATCTAGGACTAAACCCATCCTCTGGGGCCACCACAACCCATCCTGACCTTGTGGCTTAGTCAATGCTGCTCCTCATGAAATAGCTCAGCTAGACTCAATTTACTGATTTTGGAGTGCAGATTATTTGATGTGCTTTAGTCCTTTTGAGAGTGCTGACTCCTTCCTGATTCTCTACAGTAACAATGCAAAGCAGGTAAACATGTAGATCTGACGCAGATACCAATCATATAGATGTCTAAAGACATCTTGTGACCTACTAACACAGAGTGTCTCCCTGGCAGCATGTCTGGACAAGACCTAGGGGCTGGTGACCATCACTGATGGCCTTAGGAAGGAAGTGTAAGTGCCCAGGCAGCACCAGAGCCACCACACTCCCCAGCACATCCTCAGGCTGGACAACCAGGACCAGGAAAGCATATTTGTCCCACAGCTTAGATACAGCTATTTAGCACTTTTCTACCTGATTGCTGTAGCTTCTTGATACTTAAATAATCCCATATTGCTATCCAGCACAATCCAAACAGGCTGTGACAATGGCATGTCCCCCATTTGTCCAGGTATCTTTCCCATATATGTCTCCATGCTGAACTATGCAAAACCTCTGTCAGTTCTCTCTCATTGTACTTTATCCTCACTCCTTACTTACATTAAACATGTTTTCACTCCTTCGCACATGTCTTGCTTTGTGCAGCAAAAGTGATATCTAACCATTTTACCTTTAGAACTGCTATACATAAAGAGAAAAAAACTGTAACTGATAGAGGTGATATTCACCTCGCAAATGTTACCCCTCTCCATGTTGAAGTGTTCCACTTGCTTCTAACCTTTGTCCAGTTTCCAGGACAGTCTTTTATCCTCTGAAATAATTTACTTTCTGCAACCGGTCTTTTTCTCTTCAGAAAGGTGGCTGTTTTGTTACTGCCTTTTAGATACCGCAACGTCTTTTGAATTACAACTACTATCTTTACTCTTATCCTTATTCGTTATTTCCATCGATCACATTGATATTCAAAATGTTCTATGAACTTTGTTTTAAATAAAAAATGTATTTTCTTTCTAAAATTGAAAATTATTTCACTGGAAACTTAGTCTTTCATAACTTGAACGTATTTTGTGTTTACCTGCTTGTCACATAACCTTAGCCCTACAGATATGTCCTAGCAATAGATGGCTGATACAGGTAGGACAATAGGCTCTGTTTGTATCAGAGGTGGTATTCCTGACTTGGAAAGTGTTTAGACCTTCAGAGTTCAGCATACTTTGACCCCGACAGTAGCACTCACCTGCTCTATGTCTCTCATAACTTCTTAGGAATTAATTTGGAAATTTTTATTGATATAGAAAGGGTTGTTCAACATTGAACCTTATTAATAATTTGGCTCCTCACTGTGATGTACACCAATTTTAGGATTTTAGTGTGAAAACTACAGACTAATAATTTCAAGCCAGGGACCTGCAATTGACAGAACAACAAAAAAATAAATATAAAAATAATTCACTGCTGCTTTCTACCTTGTCTCATGAAGGAGTTAGACTTCTGAAGTACTACTTTTATCTGGGGAAAGGAGAATGTTTCCCCCCCTGCTTTTCCATCTTTGTTCATTTAGCTAGAATTTCTCTGCCTGCTTTTTGACAGATGAATATTTTGGGGAGTAGTTTGCTCTTTTCTGTCTTCATTCCCAGGAGGAATTATGATCAGAGCAGCCCTTGATCAATAAACAGAAGAGTAAATCCTGCTTTCCTGCATAATTCATCAGGACAGAATACAATCTGAGGACAGTATTACTAGGTCTTTTCAGTTCCGTCTTTGGGAAGGATTTCATCAAAAAGGAGATAATGACTTACAGGATCATTATAGTGAGTCATAGAATCATAGACCAGTTTTGATTGGAAGAGACCTTCAAGATCATTGAGTCCAACCTTTGTCCTAGCTCTATCAACAGCAGTAAACCATGTCCCTAAGTAAAACATCTACCCGTCTCTTTAAACACCTCCAGGGATGGTGACTGCACCACCTCCCTGGGCAGCCTCTTTCAATGCCTGACAACCCTTTCAGTAAAGAAATTCTTCCTAATATCCAGCCTGAACCTCCCCTGGTGCAGCTTAAGGCCATTTCCTCAGTGCATCACAGTATTCACTTAGGAACACTAAGTCCACATTTTCAGCCCAGTTTTGCTAACATATTGACAGTTTCTCTTTAAAGCATCCCCTCAGTGCAAAAAGGAAGCACTCTGTATAGCAAGACAATGGGGGCTAAAATCTGCCCCCCCCCCAAAAAAAAAAAACAAAACACAAACAACAAAGAAAACCAAGAGAAGTACAGAGCAGCTTTATGCTTTCCATATGATTAACTTTCTTTAGCTTCTGTGAACACTATTTTAATTCTGAAATTTTTATCATATGTAGTAACATGTAGAACACAGGCTGTAGTACTCCCTTAATTCCCAAATAGCAAATAGCTAATGTACAGACATGCAGTGACTTTAATAAAAAAGATGAATGATTTATCTTTTTTTTAGCAACTATTTCCTAATGTAGAATTATTGTGGACCTCAAGTAAGATGTTGCCTTCAATTCAAATTGAATGAAAAATAATCTGACTAGCCACCCTGTTTCCGTGTCTCAATTTGTATTCTGCCTGTGGTCACCACAGCAGTGACAACCACCTGCATGGTCTTCACATTTCCTGGCCTTTTAGCAACAGCATTATAAAAGGGTGGGCTATTTTTTTTTTAGCATTTGAATCAACAGCTCTAATCAACAGAAGTGACAGAATATTTACTACATATGGACAAGTTTGCAGTGAACCACTTTCACCCCGTCCCTGCTTGCACTTTGTACTAAGGAGCAATGAAAGGCAAAGTAACTTGTCCAATTTCACATTGTCATCCCTGAAAGGCAGTGTTAACTGTTATGCCACATGAGTTTTTATGCAAGGTTTGCTGTACTCATTTGCATCTTCCAAAGCACATATTATTCCTGACTTCAGTACAGGTTTGTCAGCTGTCCGCCTGACCTTACTAAATATACACCAGTTACACTCCAATAAAGTAGAAGTAGCTTGAAAACTTTGTCAGAATGGCAGAAAAATATAGTGTGTGGTTCATGCTTATTGTTTAGAATCCATAACCTGAAGGTTATAAAATCTATTTCAGCCCTAGGCAATATTTTCT